CTTCGCTTGAGACATCCTCGGTAACTCTGCGGAGCAAGCGTTTCGCTCGAGACATCCTCAACACACGAAAAGAGTGGCCCGCACCCTGTGATTTATCGATCGGGATTTCAAAAACAAGCGTTTCGCCTGAGACATCCTCAAATTTTAATCCGCCGGCCCACCTCGACCTCTGTACTTATCAAAGAAAGAATCCGCCAGCCCACCTCAGTTGAGGCACCGGGGATAGGTTTACCGACTAAAAGAGAACCCTGGGCCGGCGCCCTCTCTGGGAAAAAAGCAGGGGGCGGCGGTGATTCGCCGTGGGCGTCTTCGATTCTCCGCCCCCTGTCGATTCATCGCAGGGCTGCCTGGCGTGCTGGACCCTTGCGATTTGGGTTTTGGTTCTTTGTCTACGGCCCGTCCCGCTGGCCACACGGAAAGATTGCCCAGGACATCAATCCTAATTTTTTTCGGTCAAGATGGCCCAAGATTGCCTCCAAGATGTCTCCGAGACTGCCAAGATGGCATCCAAGACGGCTCAGATGTTCCCAATATGCCTCCAAGACTGCCCAAGATGCACCCAAGACGGCCTAAGATAGCCCCAAGATGGCCCAAGACTGCCCAAGAGTCCCCAGAGAGGCCTCCAAGACGGCCCTAGAGGCCTCCAAGAGGTCCTCCAGGAGGGCCCGAAGAGGTCAACATCATTGATGCTCCTTAGGTTTTTGAAGGATGTTGGCATTCTCGCTGTTTCGGCCTTCCGACGGCCCAAGGGGCACCCAAGATCGCCCTAAGATCGCCCAGGAGGTCTCCAAGGTGGCCCCATGACGGCCCAAGAGGCCCCCAAGATGCCCCCAAGAGGGCCCCAAGACGGCCCAAGAGGCCTCCAAGACGCCCAAGATGCCTCCAAGACTGCTAAGATGGCCCCAAGATGCATACAACACGGCCCAATATGCACCCAAGACGACCTGATATGGCATCCAGATGGCCTAAGACGGCCCAAGAGGCCTCCAAGATGGCTCCAAGACGGCCCTAGAGGCCTCCAAGAGGTCCTCCAGGAGGGTCCGAAGAGGCCAACATCATTGATATTCCATAGGTGGTTGCAGGATTTTGGCATTTTCGACTTTTCGGCCTTCCGACGGCTCAAGATCCTTTCGATTTTGGTTTTGGTTCTTTTTTCAGAAAAAATCTCCCACTGGGGCTTCGGCCCGTCCCGCCGGCCACCCAGAGGGGTGCGCCAAAGGTGGCTGCAAGAGGTTGCTCGGCTTCAGACGGCTCCAAGATGGCCTCCAAGTTCGCCCGAGATGATCCAAGATGGCCTCAAAGACGGCCCAAGAAAGTCAAGGATGCGTCCAAGTTCGCACAAGAAACACCTAAGATTGCCCAAAACGGCCCCAGAGGCCTCCAAGAGGCCTCCAAGACGGCCCAAGAGGCCTCGAAGAGGTCCTCCAGGGTCCTCAAGGACGACCCGACTAGGTCAAAGTCATTGATTTGCCATAGGTTGTTTGAACATGATGTTGGCTTTTGTTCCTTTTCGGAATCCGACGGCCCAAGAGTGCCCAACAGGCCATCAAGATCGCCCCAAGAGTGCCCAAGAAGCCTCCAAGACGGCCCCAGGACGGCCCAAGAGGCCCCCAAGACGGCCCCAAGAAGGCCCCAAGAAGGCCCAAGAGGCCTCAAAGAAGCCCCAGATGGCCTCCAAGACTCCCAAGATGGCCACCAAGAGGCCTCCAAGACGGCCAAATTGGCCTCCAAGACGGCCAAGATGGCTCCAAGATACACCCAAGACGGCCCAATGCTGCCTCAAGATGGCCTACGACTGCCCCAAAGGCCCTCAAGAGGCCTCCAAGACGGCCCAAGAGCCCTCCAAGACGTCCTCCCGGAAGGCCCGACAGGGTTAAGATTATTGATTTCCCATAGGTGTTTGAAGGATTTCGGCTTTTGCTCCTTTTCGGCTCTCCGACTGCCCAAGACGGCCCAAGCGGTCCCCAACATCGACCCAAGAGCGTCTAAGAGGCCTCCAAGATGGCCCCATGAGCCCAAGAGGCCCCCAAGACGGCCCCAAGAAGGCTCCAAGACGGTCCAAAAGGCCCCAAAGGCGCCCAAGATGGCCAAGTTGGCCTCCAAGATGCCTCCGAAACGCCCAAGATGGCCGTCAAGACGGGTAAGATGGCCCGAAGGAGCACCCAAGACGGCCCAACAGTATTGCCTCAAGATGGCCCGAAGAAGCACTCGAGACGGCCCAAGAGCCCTCCAAGACATTATCCCGGAAGGCCCGACAGGGCCAACATCATTGATGTCCTCATGTTGTTCGAAGGACTTTGGCTTTTGCTCCTTTTCGGCTCCCCGATGGCCCAAGACGGCCCAAGAGACCCCCAACATCGTCCCAAGAGCCCCCAAGAGGCCTTCAAGATGGCCCCATGACAGCCCAAGAGGCCCCCAAGACGGCCCCAAGACGGCCCAAGAGGCCCCCAAGACGCCCAAGATGGCCTCCATGACAGCCAAATTGGCTTCCAAGATGCCTCCAAGACGCCCAAGATATCTGTCGAGACGGGTAAGATGGCCCGAAGAAGCACCCAAGACGCCCCAATATTGCCTCAAGATGGCCTAAGACGGCCCTATAGGCCCGCAATAGGCTTCCAAAACGGCCCGAGAGCCCTCTAAGACGTCTCCCAGGAAAGCCCGACAGGGCCAAAATCCTTGATTGTCCAATGGTGTTCGAATGACTTTGGCATGTTCTTCTTTTCAGCTCTCCGACGGCCCAAGACGGCCCAAGAGACCCCCAACATCGTCCCAAGAGCCCCCAAGAGGCCTTCAAGATGACCCCATGACAGCCCAAGAGGCTCCCAAGAGGCTCCCAAGAGGCCCCAAGAAGGCCCCAAGACTGCCCAAGAGGCCCCCAAGATGGCCAAGATGGCCTCCAAGACGGCCAAGTTGGCCTCCACGATGTCTCCAAGACGCCCAAGATGGCCGTCCAGACGGCTCAGATGGCCCGAAGATGCACCCAAGACGGGGGGCCCAACATGATTGACCCACGAACCCGGAAAGGAATATAGAAATGTAAGGCATGGCAACGTTTCAGAGACACCTGATTGGACGACGGGCAAATGCAATGCTGAATGTATCGATGTTGATGTATCGTGCCGAGGGCTGTGCTGTGCTGCGCTGTGCTGAACTGCGATGTGCCATGCCGCGATTGTGCTCTATAGCGTTGTGGATCGAGTCCTCCTTTGCATCCGAGTCCTGACCGAACTGATCTGGATCTTCAGCTCGAGCTGCCTCAGCACATAGTAGCTGGCCCAGGTCCAATGGACAGGGGGACATGCCAGGAGGACGCGCCGCGGAACGTCCCAAGGGACGCGCCAGGCGACGTGCTAGGGGACGTGCCACGAGGACGCACCGCGGGACGTGCCGAGGGGACGCGCTACGGAACGTGCCAATGGACGTGCACCGCGCGACGTGCCAGGGGGACTCGCCACGGGACGCTCCGCGGAACGTGCCAGGCAACATGCCAGGCTGCAGTGCTAGAAGTATCGATATTGATGTACCGTGCCGAGGGCTGTGCTGTGCCTGGGCGACCTGGACACGTGAAAACACGCGTTTCGCTCAAGCGGTTCTCAGCACATCCTCATGCTAGACGTCCGCCTGGGCGACCTGGACACGTGCAAACGAGCGTCTCGATCGAGACTTTCTCGACACATCCTCATGCTAGACATCCGCCTGGGCGACCTGGACACGTGAAAACAAGCCTCTGGTTCGAGACATCCTCAACAAATCCTCATGCTAGACATCTGTCTGGGCAACCTGGAGGCGTGAAACCAAGCGTCTCGCTCGAGACATCCTCAAGACCTGGGCACGTGAAAACAAGCATTTCACTTGAGAGATCCTCTGAACTCAGGTCCCCAGGAGAGGACAAGCTATAATACAAAACAAGCGTTTCGCTCGAGACATCCTCAACACATTCTGAAAAACAAGCGTTTCGCTAATTAGGGGCATCCTCAAAAATAATTCCGCCGCCCCACCTCGACATCGATATTTATCGGGGAATAATTCCGCCGGCCCACCTCAAGTCAGGTCCGGGGGTAAACTTCTAAAAGAGAACCCTGGGCCTAAGCCCTCTCCGAGAAAAAATGGCGTGAAGATGGCCGTAGACTACCCAAAAAGCCCGCCAGAGGCCTCCAAGACGGCCCAAGACCCCTCCAAGACGTCCTCCAGGAGGCCCGAAAGCTCGGAAACCACCTTGTCCGATAGCCCGCCCGACTCCGTGTTCCCCGAATGCTTTCGAAACCCACTCGGAGAACACGTGGCCCGATAGCTTGGCCAAGCTCAAACGCACCTTTCGGCAACGCAGGCGCTTCCAAAAGGGCAAGGGGCGGCGGTGATTCGCCGTAGGCGACTTCGATAACGCCAACGTCTCAGCATGCGCTGATGATTCCTATCCGCCCCCGCACGATGTTCCCAGATGCGCAAAGGCAGCGCCGAGACGCACCGCCGCGACTCTGATAGATCCCATTATGATAGAGAGGGGGCCGTCGGCAGGGGCGAAGCTCTTACGGATAAGCGATGAGGAACTAGAGAGGAAACGAGTAGGCAACGAGGAGTAAGAGGAGGATGAGGAATGAGGAGGGGCGGACAGAGAATGAATGAGCAGTGCTGTACTCAAAGCGAGTGCCCGACGCAGGGGAAAAACCACAGCGTCGTGCAGAAACGCAGCTGAAGCTCTTGCCCCCGTCTCCGTGCGGCCCTCTCCGATCCCTGAGCGTCCCCCCAGGGGGGCCCTGCACGGCGCAGAATCGCCCGCCGTGACCTCTCCCCGACGCCTTGATCTCAGGGCCGTGGTCGTCTCGTAGTCGTCGTCCTCGTCGTCGTCGTCGTCGTCGTCGTCGTCGTCGGCGGCGGCGGCGGCGTCGGCGTCGTCGTCGTCGTTTGCCGAACGTCGACATCGTCGTCGTCGTCGTCGTCGTCGTCGTCGCCGCCGCGCCCCGTGTCCCCCGCGGCCCCCGCGGCCCGCGCGGCCCGCGCGCCTCGCGGCCGCCCTGGCCGTGGCCGCCTGCTCGCCGCCCGGTGCGGCGGGTTGTCTGCCGCGCGCGCGCGCCTGCGGTGCGGGCGGAGGGCTGTCGTGGTCGTGGTCGTGGTCGTGGTCGTGGTCGTCGTCGTGGCGGCGAACGGCTACGACGAGGATGGCGAGGACGACAAGGGCGAGGACGACGAGGACGACGACGGTGAGGATGCCGGGGAGGGCGAGGACGAGGACTACGAGGACGAAGAAGACGGCGAGGACTACGAGGACGACGAGGAAGACGAAGACGACGAGAACGACGAGCACGTCGAGGACGAGGACGACGAGGATGAGGGACGACAGGAGTAGGGGGCGGCTTGGGTGAGGGCGTCGGATAAGGAACCATTGGATACAAAGTCCAGGATCTGGACACCGGTAGAACTCCAACCCGAGCCGGTGGCAAGGCCCTCAATTTGTCGTTGTCGTCGCCGTCGTCCTGCAGGGTCGACGGCACCGGCCTCCAGGGTCTGGCCGCCCGTGGAACTCCAACCGCGGAGTGGCCATGAATGTCCCCGCCGCCTCGTCAGAGAAGAAACCCTCCTGCCTCCTGGGCACACTCCTGAAACCAACGCTAAGACGAAGCCATGACGAGGACAAACGCAGGTGACAATGAATCGAGAATCTCCTAGATCCGGCAGCTCTGGAGGATGTATCGGGCGTCGCGGCCTTCTCTCAGGGCGTTCCAGAACGCTCTGAGAGCGTTCTGGAATGCTCTGGAGCGGATTGACCCTCGTCCTGCCCTGAGATCCGAAGTCTCGAAAAAATCGGAACATCGTGAGAAATCACGACCAGAGCCCCGGACCCCATCTTTCTGCGCCATTTCTCGAGCCAGATCGGTCTGTGAGGATCCTGGGGCCCGAAACCAGGCCAACACGCCCGTGGTGAAAAAAAAGGGAGTCGCCAGGATCTCAGGGTCTCCCCGTCCGAAACGCCCCCACCGTACGACGAGGACGGCGGCGAGCACGCCACGCCGAGGACGAGGACGACGAGGCTGGTGCGGCACGCCGCCGCGCGCCCGCGGGCCCACGCGCGCGCCCGCGGGCCGCCGATCGGCCCCTTCGAAGGTCCTTCGGTGAGGAGAACAACATTATCGTGTTGGGAGGAAGGGGTTGGGAGGATGAAGGGTATGAGCAGTAGCTTTCAGATGCGATGCACGATACCTTCGACGGCCTGCGGGTAATGATATCCTCACCCCTCCCAGCCCCAGCCTCACAAACCGAGAACTGTCTTCCTGATTCGAAGGGCCCTCAGGGGGCCTCCACAGGGCCTTCGGGCCGGGGTGGCGCAGAGGTGCGGCAGGGGCAGGGATCCTGCGCCTCGAACAAGTCGGGACGTAAATTTCTCATGGCCTTCGGCCACTCGGGGGGCCCTCACCGGGCCTCGGGGCCACCACAAACATGATCGACCCACGAACCCGGAAAGGAATATAGAACTGTAACACGTGGCGGCGTTTTCAAAGACACCTGATTGGGTGACGGGCAAATGCAATGCTAAGTGTATCGATCTTCATATACCCTGCCGAGGGCTGTGCTGTGCTGCACCGTGCTGAACTGCGATGTGCCATGCCGCGAATGTGCTCTATAGCGTCGTGGATCGAGTCTTCCTTTGCATCCGAGTCCTGACCGAACTGATCTGGATCTTAAGCTCGAGCTGCCTGAACACATAGTAGCTGCCCCAGAGCTGATGGACAGGGGAGCATGTCAGGAGGACGCGCCGCGAAACGTCCCAAGGGATGCGCCAGGCGACGTGCCAGGGGACATGCCATGGGGTCGCACCGCGGGACGTGCCAAGGGGACGCGCTACGGAACGTGCCAATGGATGTGCCACGGGATGTGCCAGGGGACGCGCCACGCGACGTGCCAGGGAGACTCGCCAAGGGACGCGCCACGGAACGTGCCAAGGAACGTGCCAAGTTGCAATGCTGAGTGTATCGATCTTGATGTACCGTGCCGAAATATGTGCTGTGCTGCGCCGTGCTGAATTGCGATGCGCCATGCCGCGATTGTGCTCTATAGCCTCGTGGATCGAGTCCTCCTTTGCATCCGAGTCCTGACCGAACTGATCTCGATCTTAAGCTCGAGCTGCCTGAACACATAGTAGCTGCCCCAGAGCTAATGGACAGGGGGACATGCCAGGAGGACGCGACGCGGAACGTCTCAAGGGACGCGCCAAGCGACGTGCCAAGGGACGTGCCATGGGGACGCACCGCGGGACGTGCCAAGGGGACGCGCTACGGAACGTGCTGGGGACAAGCGTTTCGCTCGAGTCAAAATCTAAGAAAATCCTGGCAAAACAAACGAATTAGTCAAGACATCCTCGAAATTCCTGCGCGCGGGACGCGGCACGCGCGAGACATCCTCGGAATTCCTGCGAGCGGGACGTGAAAACAAGCATTTTGCTTGAGACATCCTCTGAATTCTGGCCCCCACGAGGCCCCCGCTCGAGACATCCTCAATTTTGCAAAACCAGTGTTTCGCTCGAACCATCCTCAACCAATTATGAAAAAAACATGATCGACCCACGAACCCGGAAAGGAATATAGAACTGTAACACATGGCAGCGTTTTCAAAGACACCTGATTGGGTGACGGGCAAATGCAATGCTGAGTGTATCGATCTTGATGTACCCTGCCGAGGGCTGTGCTGTGCTGCGCCGTGATGAATTGCGATGTGCCATGGCGCGACTGTGCTCTATAGCGTCGTGGATCGAGTCTTCCTTTGCATCCGAGTCCTGACCGAACTGTTCTGGATCTTAAGCTCGAGCTGCCTGAACACATAGTAGCTGCCCCAGAGCTTATGGACAGGGGAACATGCCAGGAGGACGCGCCGCGAAACGTCCCAAGGGATGCGCCAGGCGACGTGCCAGGGGACGCGCCATGGGGTCGCACCGTAGGACGTGCCAAAGGGACGCGCTACGGAACGTGCCAATGGATGTGCCACGGAATGTGCCAGGGGACGCGCCACGCGACGTGCCAGGGGGACTCGCCAAGGGACGCCCCACGGAACGTGCCAAGGAACGTGCCAAGTTGCAATGCTGAGTGTACCGATCTTGATGTACCCTGCCGAGGGCTGTGCTGTGCTGCACCGTGCTGAATTGCGATGTGCCATGCCGCGGTTGTGCTCTATAGCATCGTGGATCGAGTCCTCCTTTGCATCCGAGTCCTGACCGAACTGATCTGGATCTTAAGCTCGAGCTGCCTGAACACATAGTAGCTGCCCCAGAGCTAATGGACAGGGGAACATGCCAGGAGGACGCGCCGCGAAACGTCCCAAGGGATGCGCCAGGCGACGTGCCAGGGGACGTGCCATGGGGTCGCACCGCGGGGCGTGCCAAGGGGACGCGCTACTGAACGTGCTGGGGACAAGCGTTTCGCTCGAGACATCCTCTCAAAATCATCCGACTTCCTACGCGCGGGACGCGGCACGCGCGAGACATCCTCGGAATTCCTGCGAGCGGGACACGAAAACAAGCATTTCGCCTGAGACATCCTCTGAATTCTGGCCCCCCACGAGGCCCCCGCTCGAGACATCCCCCAATTTTGCAAAACCAGCGTTTCGCTCGAGACATCCTCAACAAATTATGAAAAACAAGCGTTTCGCTCGAGAAATCCTGTCAAAACCCGAAGAAATCAAAATTCCTGCGCGCGGGACGCGGCACGCGCGAGACATCCTCGGAATTCCTGCGCGAGGAGCGCTTTTCCGTGTCGCGGTCGGCTCTGCAAAACCAGCGTTTCGCTCGAGACATCCTCAACAAATTCTGAAACCAAGCGTTTCGCTCGAGACATCCCCAACTCTGCAAAACCAGCGTTTCGCTCGAGACATCCTCAACAAATGCTGAAAAACAAGCGTTTCGCTCGAGACATCCTCAAAAATAATTCCGCCGGCCCTACTCCCGCACGTAATTTATCGCAGAATAATTTCGCCGGCCCTCCAGCCGTCGAAACCGGGGGGTAAACCCACTAAAAGAAAACCCTGGGCTCGAGCCCTTTCCGGGAACAAACATCTCGTTCGAGACATCCTGCCAGAATTCAAGGGAATCATAGGAAAACAAACGAATTAGTCGAGACATCCTCTAGATTCCTGCGCGCGGGACGCAGCACGCGCGAGACATCCTCGGAATTCCTGCGCGCGGGGCGCTTTTCCGCGTCGCGGTCGGCTCTGCAAAACCAGCGTTTCGCTCGAGACATCCTCAACAAATTCTGAAAACAAGCGTTTCTCTCGAGACATCCCCACCTCTGCAAAACTACCGTTTCGGTCGAGACATCCTCAACAAATTCTGAAAAACAAGCGTTTCGCTAGGGACCACCTCAAGTCAGACCCGGGGGTAAACAGCTAAAAGAGAACCCTGGGCCTACGCCCTTTCCGGGACATGATGGACCCACGAACCCGGAAAGGGATATAGACATGTGGAGCATGGACACGTTTTCATGATACCCAACTGGGCAACACCTCACGAAACATCCCACGAGACACCTCACGAAACAGCCCACGAGACACCTCACGAAACATTCCACGAGACACCTCACGAAACATTTCACGAGACACCCCGCGAAACATTCCACGAGACACCCCACGAAACATTCCACGACGACAGGCAACCACTCAACCAAGGCGGTGTGGTCGTGCTGGGGAGTGGTCGTGCTGGGGTGTGGTCGTGCTGGGGGGTGGTCGTGCTGGGGGTGGTCGTGTCGTGCTGGGGGGTGGTCGTGCTGGGGCGTGGTCGTGCTGGGGCGTGGTCGTGCTGGGGCGTGGTCGTGCTGGGGCGTGGTCGTGCTGGGGCGTGGTCGTGCTGGGGTGTGGTCGTGCTGTGGTAAGGTCGTGCTGGGGTGCGGTCGTGCTGGGGTGTGGTCTTGCTGGGGTGGGGTCGTGCTGGGGTGTGCTCGTGCTGGGGTGGGGTCGTGCTGGGGTGTGGTCGTGCTGGGGTGTGGTCGTGCTAGGGTGGGGTCGTGCTGGGGTGGGGTCGTGCTGGGGAGTGGTCGTGCTGGGGGGTGGTCGTGCTGGGGTGTGGTCGTGCTGGGGCGTGGTCGTGCTGGGGTG